CCGAAAATTTTGAGTTAAAGAGAGGAAAAATTGTACCCATGAGTTCAGTGGCGATCCAGCAGTGGAATGAAAGGATAGCACGATTGTTTCCCACTTATTTACACCAACCATGGTGGGGCTAATTTGGGCGTGGCGGCGAGAACCTCATATTGTGCCCCACCGTCAGAAAATCTCTGGATCTGGCCCAGAGGACTTGGACATGGACATAGACTTGGACTTGGACATAGAGACCTTGTTTATTTGCACCTTATAAACAGACCTATTATTATCATTATTATTATTATTATTATTATTATTATTATTATTATTATTATTGTTAATAATAATAATAATAATAATAATAATAATATTATCAAGAACAATCGAGAATCATATATAATACAGTATATATCAGATATTCGCACGATGTGCATTAGAAACCGCACATCGAACCCGTACGGTTCCGTGGAGTAGCCTGTACACTAACAACGGTGTGTTTGTACTGTATTGTTTTCTCCAATAAACGTCGCAAATAGGAGCCTAGCTGGTACATGGAGTTATTATTATCAAAATAATTACTCCATGGCTGGTATCGATAATACTAACTGGTGTTTATTTCATGATTAGTCAGTTCTATATAGGGCCTATTATGTTAGCTTTCGAATGAAGTTAATATTGTCTGGAAATCCTGGCATACTTAGTTGAGGGTCTTAATTTGCGGGGTCTGATATTTCGAGTGGGTCTGATATCTCGTGGTCTTAGGTCTTAGCTTTCGTGGTCTGAGCTTTCGGGACACCCCTATGTGTTCTTTTATTTAAAAAAAAACAACCTATTTTTTTAACATGTTAATATTGTCTAGCCTACTTTTTAAAGTAGCACTTCCAATTAAAAAGGGGGCGTGGCCATTTTAAAAAGGGCGTGGTAATTTTCGGGTTGTTCGCCGAAATACAGATTTTTGCACACATCCCATGTTGTTCATTGGGTTCAAAATAGTCTATATCATTTGAGATATTCTCTCCTAAATTAGGTACATACAAATCTCAGTCAGGTCCTAGACAACCGGTTATTATAAATGATACTGGCATTGGACAGGTAATGAGTTTATGCGTTAATGAGTTCCACCACCAGAACCACAGGCGAGCGTGCCGTTCGAACCAACGCCGATATTGTAGACGTTGCGGCTCCCATCTAACTCACCAACATGGACTAACACATGTAGATAAAATATACTCTAGAGCTAACCAAAGGCTCTATTTTGTACGTAAAATGAAGGTGAAATGATACCGAACTAATAATAATAATTTTACACGCTGTTCAATTTTAGATTTTTTATATTTAACCACATTTTATGATTAAATTGTCGGAACACGGCCATTTTGTTATTTTTCGCTGCGGAAACGGGTCCCAAATTATCCGATAAATTTTATGAGAATCAGATAATTTATCGGAAAAGCTCTTAATACGAAAATATATAACCTTTGACCGGTTATGAAAAGAATTATTCTGGGTAGTTAGTTTCAATGGAGTAGTTAGTAGATGTCAATCTATATAGATGTCAATCTCCTCCATGATCTACTGTAACAGTACATTTCCCAAGGTGAAATAGTACGAACGATTTCGTTCTTGGCCTAGGACTATCCATTTCGCGCAAAATAAGGGTCACCTACTAGGTCAACAAAACGGATGTTTTGATGTTAACACATTGCATTTTTGTCAAGTGCTGCGGGAAACACGTAGTCTTAATGTTTTTAAAAATCTTGAATAATGTTTTGCCTATAAAGATGCTTTTCTTCCGTTTTTAATGAAAGGCAAACAAGTTTACTCGTTATGATATTGAATTAGGTTAACATAATATTAGCCGTGAAAAGCTTTTAAACATGTGAATAATGTAAGTAGTGTTACTTATGCCCGAACTTACCACACGATGCCCTCAGAGTGACTGGTATAAAACCTGCAAACTCCTTCACCTTGCTGAGGCATACAGTTATATAATACTGAAGAAATTGGTTTAATTTGATTAAATGCTTATAATATTAGTCTTAGTATAACATAATGTACCACTTACCAGTTTAACGACTTGGGTTACAGTATAGCCATAGGTCACGACGACAACATCGGAGTCATTTAATACCGGCCTCGCTGATTTCTCTTCAGGATAGTTATCTAGTAAATCTTTTACCAGCCTAGCCTCGTTGTTTAGCGCATCTGCACCAACCATAAACAAAAAGGCGTGGTTATTAATTATAATGGTTAGCTACGGACAAGCATGTGCGTATGTTGCTATTTTTTAAAATATATTTACTTATGCATTTATATGAACTAATAAACAATCTCTACGTGATACCATAAATATACTTTTCTTTATTTAAAATAAGATGAGAAACTTTGCAGAAACCCACTTTTCCTAACGCCAAACTGCCTACTTAAAAGCTGTGAAACTCAGTTTCCCGAATCCCACTTTGAAGAAACCAATTTTTTTGCCGAATTTCCATTTATAAACACAATAATTTTATATTACATTATCTAAACAAATTTACTACGCATTTAAACGAAGTATACATAATTAGGCTTAAAATATTCTAATAAACAGCTTTTAATGCTTATTTTTATTTCACACTTTAGTATCGAAATATAATTAACTCAATCAAATAACTGTTAGCACCAAAAAGTATCTTAATCCTTTTAATAATCAGGCATTTTTCAAACATTTATTGCGCTCTATTGTTGCCATTGTCATGAGCTTAAGAAAGTAATTCAAGATAGTAATGATTGGCTCATTGTTAATGTTTGAAGTAGACCATTACATGTAGGTAGACATTAAAGCATATTATTATCGATGTAATCTATACGAATGTAGGAAAAAAATGGCCCCGGTAAAATTGGCCTCGGTAAAACTGGCACCGGTAATAATGCCCCTGGTAAAAATGGCCCCAGTAAAAATAGCCCCAAATGAAAAGTAGGTAAAAATGGCCCCAATGAAAAAATTCAGTAAGAGAAATGACTTTTCTTTAAATCTTCAAATATTTAAACACTGTAAAATAGCAAGAATTGAATCAATAAATAAAAAATGGCCCCAATTATAAAATTAAATAAAAAAATAATTTTTAGATGCTGTAAAATATGCATATTTGATAACTAAAATAACTTAGTTTTATGAGGAGCTCTATGAGTATCCTGCTAATTGATTAATTAATAGATATTAGGGTGTTAGGGCTGTTAGGGCTAAGTATTTATTATTATTATTATTAGATATTATTAGCGGCCAATCATTTATGTTATTATTATTGGCTCTGATGGGAAGCTCTAAAACATTAAATCGGAGCCAGTTTTGAACAGCGGTATGGCAGAAAACAGCCTAGACCATTTCCCCGAAATTTGAAATGAAAATTTCCGATAACCTGGCAACCACTGGGGACTTTCAGAGGCCTTCGCGGTACGTAGTTACTGTCATGGATTAAATCAATGATAAATCTAAATTGGTAAAAAACATACCTACAAATACACCACAAACTTCAAAAAACACTGCGAACCCCATCCAAACCCTTTAATCGTAATAAAATGCGATTTGACAGGAAACCGATTACGACTGGTGCGTTGTGAAATCGACGTAACGTAAACTAAAATCGTCGCAAAACAGTTTTGGACAGGAAACGACGTATTGAATGTTGATGTGATACGTCGATTTTCCACTATTTGACAGGAAACTGCGATTTAGTGACTTTTTGTTGAATGAACTCGCATACGTTGCGTTGCAAACGATTCTTATGAAAAGTTGACTCCAACATAAGAACGGTAAGCGGAAACGTATGCTGTCTCTATATCTTGCCTATACAACAACATTGTCATGAACTAGAACTCTCATTGCCTTACGTATTTATAATAAAATGGTTAAAAAGAAGCATATCCTCCACTTTTTTCAAACACAATGATAGGCATGTAAAATCTTGAACAAGAATGAGGATTGCAATTAGATTTAATAAATTACATTTATTATACAAAAAAACATATAGGCCTATAATATAAAAATAATATATAAAACATTATAATATAGGGCCTAAATAAATATATAAAATATATAGGCCTAGATTGCCTTAATATATATATTGCCTAGAACCCGAATTTTAACATTTAAATCATGTTTTCTGTATAACTGTATATCTGGAGATAAGATTTTTCTGTCAGTTCAAAAAATAATATAATAAGGTGAAATGAAATAAACAAAGTACAATATAGGCCAAATTGATATTTTGAGAACGAAACACTAAAATTGATAACGAGAAAGTTAGCAAATCGAGATTTGTAGGCCCTTATACTGTACTACAGGACTATTATTATTATTATTATTATTATTATTGTATACTTATATAGCGCATATCAGACTAGACTATTGTTTAAATCCAACGGTGAAAATTGTCCTCGAATCTCGCCAGGTAATTTTAATGAGGAAACCAGACAGGAAGTGAGAAATGTTAACATATCGCAGTCGCAAAGAAAAAAATCAACTTGACGTAACATGCATGTGACGACGTTAGAAGAGGCTTTGCCGTTCGAGCTTTAAAAATTCAACTTATCGTAAGAATCGTAACCGGCTTATTTTGTCTGCGGCCCAGCACGATCATGACGCGGCTGTTTTTGTCCAACTTCTCGTAACAGTAATTAAGAATCGTATGAATCGTAAGAAATTCTGAACTTTACGTTGACAGGAAACCAGGCTTAATGGGAGAACACAAACTAGCCTATTACTTTTCGTGTTAACGGGAATCGTTGTCTGACTATTTAATCACCCGATAGGCTTAAAAGTCTCCTCTCATCACGTTTACCAAACACATTATAAGTGTCTCCTTCTTACTCTTTTTCAAACGACGGTTACGGAGGATAGAAACTGTTTTAGCGTAATTAGTCAAAATTCGGCAAAACTAGGTTTCAATAGTTTTTAGTAATTAAACTGGCATGCGACAAACTGGGTTTCGCAAATTGGACTTGCCCATTTGGAATCACTGGATTTCGTCAAACTGGTGGGATACCGGTATCGGATCCCCCGAGGCTTTCATATTAAAACACCAAGGTTAGCTTGTGTATCAGGTTATTTGTGTAGAAGAATCCGTAGTTGAGTGTTGTAGAATATATTAGTAATACTTTTCGCTCGAACGGGCCCCTAGAGAGCAGTAGTAGTAGTAGTAGTGGTGGTGGTGGTGGTGATGGTGGATGGTAGAATACTGGTAGTTATAGGCCTACGAGCAGTGCTAGTATATAGTTATAGGGCAGTGTTGTAGCTAGGTTCTAAAGGGATCCTGGTTTGAGAGTATATCTATGACGCTTATAAACTGGTCGACCAGGCTAACTGTATACATTAGCAAATATTAAACTTTCACTGATGTAATTCATATTAACCATTTACCAACTGTCTCGCATCGCGCGGGACGGTCCTGCATTTCAAAGTGATTTTGGATGAAACACGCATTTTGCAGAAAGACATATGCGTGATCAGAAATTTGTCACGCATTTAGCACAAGTCTATGCGTTATAACGAATTATCACGAATTCATGGGAAAATGTATTTAAAATTAGAAGAAATTGGTTTTATTAAAATCATCATAACTTCATGAATACATTTTAGATTCACTTCACTGCAAGTAGTCGATGATTATTATTGAATGGTAATTGTTATTATCGTGATGGAATAGACAATACCTGGATTTGCGTCAGGAGAATCAATAGGGGCCTATAAGTGTAGTTTTGCCCCTGTCGTAAAAATGTACTGAATACTCAGTGCGTGTGAAAAAAATATTTGCAAGTTGTTCTCCGGTGTGACACGAACGTTCTCTAGATCACTATCCTGGCATCATACCTCTAGACCACCAAGCTTGCACCTGATGGCCAGGGTTGAATTCGAGCCCAAGTAAGCAGCGGGTACCGTACTATTTTTGCAAGTGTTTTCACATGCACTGAGTATTCAACACATTTTCCCGACAGGTTGGGCAAAATTCCACCTATACATGTTCTATTGTTGTCAATATTATACTATAGACTCATGAAATGCCTACTAGGCCCTAAAACGATAATATATATATGACATGACCATAGTTTATTCTCAATATTCTTGAATATTTTAAACAAAATATTTTTTAGATATTTCTGAGCGTTAATGCCGTATCTGTTTTAAAAAATCTCAGAATATATTAACATTAAGAGTTTCGCCTGAGTAGACCCCACTAAGACTCTGTCTATAGATCCGATCAGGTGCATTTTAACCAATTATACCTATTGCCCGGCAGTTATCTATGCCATAGTTACCAACCGTCTCGCATGGTGCGGGATGGTCCCGCGTTTCAAAGTGATTTTGGATGAAACACGCATTTTGCAGAAATACATGCGAGATCATAATAATAAATAATAATTCTGGATTTATATAGCGCCTCACGTTGACACAACCTCGAGGCCCTTGAACATTATTACCCCCGGATCACTGGATCAAGCACATATGGAACACACACTCAAGCCCCATGGGGAATTCCATAACGTTGCAGCTGTATTCAGCGCAGGCTGTGTTTGAACCTACCAGGTACCCACTTGTACTCCAGGGTGAAGAGAGATAACCGTAGATAAAGTGCCTTGCCCAAGGACACAAGCGACTTGAACAGTGAGAGTTTCGAACGCCCGACCTCAAGGTTGGGAGTCCAAGCCACAACCGATGCGCCAACCACTTCTACAAATCATAAATGTGTCACGCATTTAGCACTTGCGTAATAACGGATTATCACAAATTCAGGGAAAAAGCATTTAAAATTAGAAGAAATTGGTTTTATTAAAAATAACCACACACTTGTAAAGCCGAGAGCTTTATTCTTTTTGGAATTAGCTTATTTTTCTTGTTTATTTACTGGTAGTATGAATTGAAAATAAATAGAAAACTTTAAATAATTTAACTTAAGGATTTTTAAAATATTCAAAACCTGAAATAAATAAAATAAAAAATAAATATATAAAGTTAACTTAAAACACAAACAACGCGATAGAGTATAAAGTTTGAAAGAATAATTGGTATACTGTACTGACTGTATTTCTGAAGTGCTATTCGTTTTGGAGTTGCTACAATCAGGAGTTACAATCGATCCAACAAAGGAAAAGCACTATCTATTTCCTTACATTCCATAAAGTGAAATAGGCCTATACTAAATTCAAAAATAAATTAACCAGTTTGCTTCGTATTGCTTGTAT